CTTAAACTAATGGAGTTTTAATATTCAAATATAAAAGTTTCGTCATTTGCGTGAATGACCATTTCCCATTTTAACTATTAGCACAAGATTTTTGTTTATGTGGATATGAACAATATACACATCTGTGTCACCTAAAATTGTTAAATTATTGATTAAAATACAAAATAATTGATGATTGAACATGTAATTATGTAGAATACGAAAGAGACTGAAAATACAATTATTTAGACTTCACCTATGCTTGGTTAATGTCCATAGACGGTCAAATAATATATATCCACACTATTAATGGGGTCCACGAGTATAATTTACTTACGCGCTACAAATTTCTATCGATTTATAAAGTAAACTGATTATAAAAACTTCCAAAACATAATTTTGACCTTTTCCATTGGACATTCTAGACATCAAAATGTGCCAATCTTTTAACATGTTCAAAATTGTCGTTCCATATTAAGTAGACATGATTTTTGAACTCATGGCAAATTGATAGCTCAAGACTCCTATATACCGAGTTGGATCTAAGGCGAAGTAGGTGATGTGATGGAACCGTGACGATTAGCGGATTGTGATGGTAGGGTCTGAAGACAACGAAGTTGTGGTCGTGGAGTTGAATGGAGGTTGCAATAATGGCAATGGATTTGTGATGATTAGCAGATTGCGACGATGGTGGGTGATGACACAAATTGGAATCGATGGCAGTGACGACGGTGCAGCGGCAACAATGATGGCAATTTTGATGTTGATGATGGCTAAAAGAGGCGATGGTGGCAATTTAACATTAAATGTTATAAGTGGTGGGCCAACGATATGCCCTTTTTTGATCTACATTTTTCTAAAAATTCATTTTTTCAAAATTCATTTTTAATCACACATTCTGCAATAAAATAATATTATATGCAAATCCAAAACATTTCCTTAATTTCTAACTAAACATTCTTTATAAATCTACTCTTTCGAAATATATTCTTTCTGTGAAATGGGGCTCAACGAAGGGAATGTTACAATCGGTAATGGCGTCGATGATCACGGTGAATGTAGAAATAGACGGCTAAATGTGTGTAATGAGTGATGATGACGCAACAGTTGAAACATGTTTGTGAAATGTGTGAAATGTGTGTAATATAATTTTTGCAAAAAATATAACACATCGTATTCAATGGAGGAGACAATCATCTTCCATTGTGTGACCAAAAATTAAGATGCAATTTATTTTTTGAAACAACATAACATTAACAAAAATAAATCAATGTATTACTTAAAATTTAAAATAAGTCATACAGATTTCCATTTAAAAAAATAATAATAATAAATTTGCTTCCAAGTTTTACTGTTTGACCTTGTTTTGCCGTTGTTCTTCGAGTATACAATCGTCTGCTTATTTCATTTGCGTCTCAAAATCTAATAACTAAATTGAATAACAATTTATATTGTTAAAAAACAAAAATGGCCAAGAATCAAATAAATATATTAAAAAATTAAAATAAAAAATGAAAACAGTAATTTGAGAATTAAAAAAGACCTAAAAGTAAGTATGATATTGGTAAACTTTTTAGGGTTATTCTTGGGGTACATAGGGGTACATAAGGGTGTCCAAAATGGACACTCGGCGCCCCCCTATTGGAGGGGAGGGGTCTTATGTGCTTGGTGATGTACACCAAGAATAATTCAACTTTTTAAAGGTATTCGAGAATTCTCCCTTTTTTATTTCTTAAATTTAAAATTAGCCCAACATTATTTAAATTCACCTAGTCCACGTCACAATATTAACAATGAAAACTACCAAATTTCAAGTATTCAATCGATCTCGCTCTGCCTTACGCTCCCTAAAATTATCAGATAGTAAGTATTAAAGAATGTTCAAAGGTCTCCAACGAGGCCCGTAAGAAATTTACCACGCTCCGACGAGCTTTTCAATGAAGTGACACTCAGTTGCAGTCTTGTAGATACAAATAGGCATGTATTTTATGAGGCATTTTGTGGGTGTTTGTGCGTGCAAATCATTTGGAATTTGTTTTTGGTTTGTTTTTGCTCAAATGTAAGAAGCTAGAAACAATGCGTAGAATAATGATGGATTCAAAAATTGGTATTATATGCATCGGAGTTAAAAAAACATGAAGGTTCTTGCATGACTTGTTGGATTGAATTAAAAAACAAAAAGGAAAACTGATGAAAACATGCAATTAAAAATAAAAGAGGAAAGAT